GGGACCTCATCGACCTGGTGACGCTCTGGAAGCGCAAGTGCCTGCGGGAGGGCTTCATCCCCAAGGACTGGGACCAGCCTGTGGCCGACTGGAAGGTCTTCTACTTCCTGTGCAGCCTGCGCAGGAACCTCCTGCACAACCCCTGTGCTGAAGGTGGGATGTGGTGGGGTCTGGTGCACCCCAGCACAAAACACCAGCTCTTGTTTATTGAGCATTTACTATGAGCCATGTCCTTTGGGTGGTTTAATGCCTTCAACCCTCTCACAACAACCCTTTGAGGTAGGGACTACCGGTATACCCATGGTCCAGATGGGCAGACTGAGACCAAGGGTAGAATTTTTTATTCCACTGCTAAGATTATTTCTCCAGTGACCTTTCCTAGGAAAGGGACTGGTGACTGCCTGGAAAATTTTGTGCCTGAGACACAAATCACAGCCATGGTTTGTTGGCTTTGTTCCCAGACTCCAGAGCTGAGCCTTACTGTGACTGTTCCAGAAGACAGGCGGGGTGGGGGCAGGGGCTGTGCTTGTGGAAGAAAGGGAGATCTGGTCTTCTTTCCAGAGGAAAGCAGCGCCAGGCATGGTGGCGCACCCCTGTAATCCCAGCACTCGGGAGGCTGAGGCAGGAGGATCGCTGCAAGTTCCAGACCAGCCTGGGCTACAAAGTGAGCTCAAGGCCAGCCTGAACTGCATAGTGAGACCCTGTCTCAAAAAGACAAAAAATAAATAAATAAATAAATAAAACAGAGGAAAGCAGCAATGGGCAAAATAAGGCTCCTGTGTCACCCGGAACCCAGCTTCCCGAGGATCCATCAGATTTCATCACTGGGACAAAACGCCTGGCACCAATTTAAAAGAGAGGCTTGTTTGGCTTATGGTTGCAGAGGCTTCAGTCCATGGTCAGCTGGCACCAAGGCAGGAACATCATGGCGGGAGGGTGTGGTGGAGGAAAACAGCTCACTTCATGCTGACCAGGAAGCAGAGCATAGGGGAAGAGGGCCACAAAGGAAGTGAGGGACAGAGAGAGTCCCCAGGGGCATGGAATCAAGACCCACCCAGACACACTGGGAAGTGTGCTTTCCTAACCCCGTAGGGGGCTCTGGAGTAAATCAAGTTGACATCAAGATGAACCCTCATAGCTCATTATATTGTCACTTGCCAGGGGGACGCTGGAGTGGGACAAGGACATTGTCTTCTGTTGTGTAGTCAGATTCTGGAGCTCAGTGAAGGTAAAAGGCCCCCACGAGGTGTCAGGTGCTGCTTCCTTTAAGGCCTGGACAGTCTCACTCTTGACTCGCATTTGGCAAGCTGTAGGCCACAAGCCAAAACTGGACAAGGAGTTGAGAATATCGTTTTGTTTTGTTTTCTCTGTCTGGATGTGTGTGGACCTGTGTTTTCTTTGTTTCTGTGTTTTCTTTGTTTTGTTTTGAGATAGGTTTTTGTTTTGTTTTGTTTTGTTTGTCTTTTTGAGACATTGTTTCACTATACAGTTCAGGCTGGCCTTGATCTCACTTTGTAGCCCAGGCTGCCCTCAAACTCACAGTGACCTCCTGCCTCAGCCTCCCAAGTGCTGGGATTACAGGTGAGTGCCACCATGTGACACTTTGAGATAGGATCTTGTTGTGTAGTCCAGGCTGGCCTTAAATTCACTGTGTAGGCAAGGACAGCCTCCAATTTATTATCCTCCCACTTTAGTCTTCCAAGTAGCTGGGACTACAGGCACGTGCCACCCGACCTGGCTTTTTTTTCCTGGTACAAGGAATTGAACTCAGGACCTTATGCCTGCCAGGCAGGCGCTATGTCGCTGAGCTATATCCCTGGCCCCACACCTGGCTTTTGTACCCTTTAAAAGCAACTATCCTTGGGGCTGGGGATTTAGCTCAGCGGCAAAAGCGCCTGCCTGGCAAGCGCAAGGTCTTGAGTTCAGTTCCTGGTACCGGAGGAAAAACCAAAAAAAAAAAAGCAGCTATCCTTGCTCAGCATGATGGCGCATGTCTGCAGTCCCGGGGAGATGGGGTGGGAAAGATCAAAAGTTTGGACATCTTAGCGACTTAATGAGACCCTGTCTCAAAAAGGAGTGCGGGGACTGGTGTGTGACATAGCTCAGTACGAAAGTTTGATCTGTAGGACCCACACATACACAAAAGAGTAGAAAAGAAACTAGAAACAATGTGGTAGGGACAAGGGACAGATGTGGCCCCACAAGAGTAAAATGACTGCAGCCCTTCACCCCAAGTTTCCCAGCTTGTTCTTGAGTGCAGTTCCAGAGAAGACCAAGGCTCAGAGAGGGAAAGCAACTTATCAAAGGTCACACAGCCCAGGATTGGCAGAGCTAGTATAAGACCAAAGTCTGTCTGGCCTATGACAGAGCTTTCTCCATCACAGAAGGGTTGTTTGATCACGTCATCTTTTCTCCAAAATTCTCAGTGGAAATCACCTATGGCTGGGACACAGGAAGCACTGAACATGAGGTAGACACCCCTGATCTGCAGCGACCTCAGCCCTGGATGAAGTCAGCTGCTGGGTTCAGGGAGGGCGGGGCAGGTAGAGAGGTGACCACTGAGGGCTCCCGCCACCCACCAAGCGCTCTGCTTTCCCACCAGAGGGGTTTGAGTTCTGGAGCCTCGACGTGAACGGTGGCGATGAGTGGAAAGTGGAGGACCTGTCCCGGGAGCAGAGGAAGGAGTTTCCCAATGACCAGGTCAAGAAATACTTCGTGACTTCTTATTAGTAAGATCGGGGGTCTCGGGGCGGGGGGAAGCCCAAGTCCCTGCCCGCTCGGGAGGGACGGTCAGAGGCGCTGGGTCCTGGCAGTGACCCCAGCCCCCCCTCCGCCCACCCCCAGCACCTGCCTCAAGTCCCAGGTGGTGGACCTTAAGGCTGAAGGGTACTGGGAGGAGCTCATGGACACCACGCGGCCGGACATTGAAGTCAAGGACTGGTGAGTGCTGGGGGCGGCTGCCACTCAGACCTCCCACTCCTACTTTGCCCCCCATCTCCGAGGCCCTGACTGGGCCCCCCACCCCCACAGGTTTGCAGCCAGGCCGGACTGTGGGTCAAAGTACCAGCTGTGCGTCCAGCTGCTGTCTTCTGCACACGCCCCGCTGGGGACCTTCCAGCCAGACCCAGCGACAATCCAGCAGAAGAGTGATGCCAAGTGGCGAGAGGTTCGTGGCCTCGGAGGGGCAGGGGCAGCATCCCCAGGGTGAGACACCACTCAGGCTGGGCTGGGATCCGCTCCAAGCCCTGCCACTTCTCCCAGGGGCTTCCCCCGTGCAATGGGAATAAACATGCTTCCCGTGCAGCGTGCAGTGCCAGATCCAAAACACATTCAGGAAGTAGGGGCCGGCCAAGGCTCAGTGCTTGAGCACCCACCTTGAATGTGCAAGGCCCTGGGTTCTGTCCCCAGCACCACACACACACACACACACACACACACACACACACACACACACAAAGGTTGAGTTTTACTAGTTACTAATATTGATTACTACCACAGAGGGTGCCCAACCTACAATAACTTTACTTACTATTTTCGGACTTTACAACGGATTTATCAGGTATGATCCCATCTTACAGGAGCATCTGGACTTGCAAGAGTTTCACTTAGGATTTTGCAAAAGTCAGATCTGGTTATCAGGGCACTGAATGCACTGCCACTTACAGCGTTTTCACCGTCTGAGGGGTTGATCCGCACACCTTTCCACTGTGATTTGAGGAACATCTGTGTTCACCAAACTGGGGTCACCAATATTGTCTTTTAAGACTAGATATAGAAATCTAAGGGTTTGCGGGCTGTCCTATCTCTGTCCCAGCTACTCGGCCTTCACCTCTGCTATGAGAGCAGCTTTCATCAGTGTGCAAACCAGTGCCCATGGCTATGTTGCAATAAAACTTTATTTATTAGCCAGGCATGGTGGCGCACGCCTGTAATCCCAGCACTCGGGGGAGGCTGAGGCAGGAGGATCGTTGTGAGTTCGAGACCAGCCTGGGCTACAAAATGAGCTCAAGGCCAGCCTGAACTGCATAGTGAGACCCTGTCTCAAAAAGAAAAAAAAAAAAACAAAAAACAACTTTATTTATAAAAACAGTCAGTGGGCCTGTTAGGTAGTTTGCCGAACTCTGACCTGGACCAGCACCATCTCATAGAACTTTCTGCAGTGACAGAAAGGGCCTGAGTCTGTTGTGTCCAGTTGGTAGCCAATAGCCACCACCGGAGAGCACTGAATGCTTGGTAAGAGCCAGTTCCTAGGGCAGCTATATGAAGGAACTTTCTATTTCATCTAGTTTTAATTAAGGGTATCTTAAATAGCCACATGCGCCTGGTGTTGACTATACTGGACATCCTTTGCCAGTTTCAGTCCCTTTCAGCACCATAGTAGCTCTGTGGAGTGGGCCAGGCAGGATTTCGCTCCTTAGAACGGATGTGGAAACTGAGGCACACAGAGGGCGGGTGGTTGGGCCCTCAGAACGCACTGCCCCCCTGCTCCCCGGCCCCGCTCTGGCAGCGCCACCCTCACGGTCAGCCCCCTTGACTTCTCGCTGCCCTCTCCTGCCCCCAGGTCTCCCACACGTTCTCCAACTACCCGCCTGGCGTCCGCTACATCTGGTTCCAGCACGGCGGCGTGGACACTCACTACTGGGCCGGCTGGTACGGCCCAAGGGTCACCAACAGCAGCATCACCATCGGGCCGGCGCTGCCCTGACGCCCCCTGGACCCCCAGCCACAGAACACGAGCGGGTAAACTGCTCTCAAAAAAGGGCTGGGCCAGGGCCGGGAAACGGCGTGCAAGCCAGGCGTGCCCAGACCTCGCCCCTAGCCGCCCCTTCCTCCGTGGCCGTGTAGCAGGGCAGCGCTTCACTGGTGCCGACCGGAAGGATCACATTGCAGGTCTGGGGGCCTCTAGAGATGGAGCATCGGAGGTTAGCAGAATGCAGGGGTTTCCCAGGCTCTGAGAGAGGGGCTCCAAGCTCGGACACCAGCCCAGATCTGTGCCTCTGCTTACACACACGCACACAGACTATTTGCCCTGTGTTCTCTGGGAGCCCTTGAGCAGGGTCAGGTGAGGCATCAGTGTGACCGCCTTTGACAGGGCAGATGTTGGGAGGTGGGCCTGCAACCAGGACAGATGTGGGAGGGAGAAGGAGGCTTCTCGGATGGTCCCACCCTCCATTCTGCCGCTCCTAAGTGCCCCCCGCTCCTGCCTGCCCAGAAGAGGCGGCCCTGGCCCAGAGCCTCAGGCCTGGTCTGCCACGGACAGGGCGGAGCAGGCAGTGGGCGGAGTCCAGAGGGGTGTGGCCTGTCCCAGAGCGGATGCGCAGCAGGTGGGGGCGGTGCTCTCCGAGAGACCAGGGAGCCCTGCACAGGGCATGCCAGGGAATCTGGGCCCAGGACCAGCCCCCGACTCTGAGGGCTGGGACGTGGGAACCCAGGGTGAAGAGGGTGAGCATTTTCCGGGGCCACCTGTCCACCTCCGTGCTCTGGCCAGACCCCGCCCCAGAAGCACCATTCCAGAGCTTCCTAGCCACCACCAAACCCTACAGCATGCAGTCAAATAAAGGTGTTCCCAGCCCTGCTCTCCCTGTGGCACCGGCAGGGGCCGGGCCTGTTGGCTACAAGGTGTGGCTTCTGTCCCCAGAGAGAGGCTAATAATGTTCAGGGGCCAGATCATCCCAGAGCCTGGTCACAGTGAGCCCCCTCAGCCAGGTACAAACACCTTGCTCTCCCCCAGCCCTCACTACATGTCCACCAGGACGCTGCTTCCCACGGTCACTCTCTGCCAAGAGCTTTACTGACCTTGGATGCGGCTGAAGCAGTTGGAATGGTCCCTTGCACACAGTAGGTGCTCAATAAATGCTCAAGTGTCATGATCTCAACCATGGGCTAGATTAGGGCCCAGTCAGGGTAGGCAGGGACCACCACCCACCAGCTGGAAAAAAAGCCAGTCTTGGTTTTTCTCCGGTACCGGGAACTGAACTCACGACCCTGCGCTTGCCAGGCAGGCGCTTTTGCCGCTGAGCTAAATCCCCAGCCCCTAAAAAGCCAGTCTTCCATGGAGAAGATGCAGCCCTGAATGTGACAGTGCTCAACCTGGACAACCCTTGCTGTTTGCCTGAACATGAAGCTTTAAAATTCTTTTTTTTTTTTTAATTTTAAAGAGAAAAAACAATGATACAAAATTTCAAAACAAGATAGTAGGAGAGTAACAGTGGTTAATACATTGCTTATTGTTATCTTCAAAATAGATTTCAAGCCAGGCTTGGTGGCGCACACCTATAATCCCAACACTTGGGAGGCTGAGGCAGGAGGATCATTGTGAGTTTGAGACCAGCCTGGGCTATAAAGTGAGCTCAAGGCCAGCCCCAACTGCACAGCGAGACTCTGTCTCAAAAAAAGACAAAAAAATATTAGATTTCAAGATATAGGCATAAAAAAATGATCAAACAATATAAGCACAGACCTTTGTTTTCAGCGAAGGAATAGCAACCAGCAGCATTAACCATCTCGATTATCTTGTACATATTGTAGAATGAAGGAATTCATGAACTGAGGTTTGACCAAACCCGGAAGAGGTTTTTAGCAGCTCTTTGGTCGCCTGGGGCTCTTAGAGAGGGGTCTGTGGGTGGTTCCAGAGCCGGGACGGCCCACCTTCGGCTGCGTGGGAGAGCAGATAAAAGGAGCACCGAGGCCAGGCTTGCTGGCTGGAGGAGGAGGCGGGAAGAGGTGGGTGCTGCGGCCGCGAGAGGCGCTGGTGGCCCGCTGCGCGTGACGCGGAAGGACCGGCGGGGCGGGGCGAGAGGGCACGACGACGTCGCAGCCGCCCGAGCACCGGGCACTGGAGCTGTGGCTGGGGCGCTCGCCAGTCCCTGTGCCCCGGTCTCGGCCCAGCAGGAACCGGCAGGGCAGGGCGCGCACAGAGCTGCGGACGCCGTCCCCGGGCGCATCCCCTGGCGGTCCCGCGGCTCGCAGGGCCTTGTCGCCCGGTAGGGGGGCCGGGGTCGGGGGGGAGTGGGACCTGCCAGCTCGGGACAGGCAAGGGACCAGTGACCCCACCGTGACCACCCCGCACGGCTTCCGCCCCTGCGCGGGTCGTGTCTCCGGGCCGGCCGGGTGGTGGAGGGGTGGGGGTGACAACACAGCGGGAAGCCATTTGTCCCCAAGCCCCCTCCGCCGCCGAACCCCGTGACTTAATTTGATCTGGTGTTTTCAGAGGTTGTTGGCATTTTTAAATTGCCTAATTTTTTCTTTCCGTACTGGAGATTGAACCCAGGGCCTTTGCACTGAGCTACATGCCCAGTTCTTTTTTATTTTATTTTTTTCCACATAGCGTCTAACTACGTAGCTCAGGCTGGCCTCAAACTAGTGATGATCTTCCTGTCTTAGCCTCTGAAGTGCTGGGATGATAGGCATGCGCCACCACGCCGCGTTTTCTTTTTTGTCTTTTTGAGACAGGGTCTTGCCATGCAGTTCAGGCTGATCTCGAACTCCAAACGCTCCTGCCTCAGCCTCCTGAGTGGTGGGATTACAGATGTGCGCCACCACACCCGGCAAGGTTTTATTTTATTCTATTTTTAAGGTTTTATTTTAGACAGATCGTCTGTCCACTAAATTGCCCAGGCTGGGTTGAACTTTGGATCCTCCTGCCTGGACCTCCAGGCACTGGGATTTCAGGCAGGCCCCAGCCCACCCGGATAGATCTCATGTTTTTAAAAAACTGCTTGTGCTCAGACCTAGCCACAGTGGGGGTTGGGGTGCGGGGTCGATTCCCATCCAGCCGTTTCCCACAGGCCACAGGTACCATTCTCTACTGAAAGCCAGTGTGCGCACCCACCCCACGTTTCCTGGGGCTCTCAGGAGACTGAACTGCTTTTGGGGCTGAATCTCAATGCAGAGCAGAAGAGACCATCGTTTCCTGTTACCCTGTGTGTCCCTAGGTGTGCGCAGAGAAGACCCCTCTGTGTGACAGCCCAGAGCCTGTCGGCCACCCCCACCACAAGGTCCCTTTATGCCACAGATTTTTCTTTTTTTCTTTTTTTGAGGCAGGGTCTCACTGTGCAGTTCAGGCTGCCCCGGACTGTGTAGCCCAAACTGGCCCAAAACTCAGTGACCCTCCTGTCTCAGTGCTGAGTTCACAGGCCTGCCCCACCACGCCCAGCACACTACAAATATCTGCCCCTCCCCTGCCGTGGGCTGTGGCCTCTTAGGTGGGGCACCTCATCTGGCTTCCTGGCCAGCAGGAGCGGCTAGGGGGCGGGAGGCTGTTTCCCAGCAGCAGGCCCTCTGCCAGAACCCAAAGGCAACCAGATTTGTATTCTAATGGCAAACTCAGAGCCCGGCATGGTGGCCCACGCTTGTAATCCCAGCACTCGGGAGGCTGAGGCAGGAGGATCGTTGCGAGTTCGAGACCAGCCTGGGCTACAAAGTGAGCTCAAGGCCAGCCTGAACTGCATAGCTAGACCCTGTCTCAAAAAGACCAAAAAAAAAAAAAAAAAAAAACCTCTAATGGCAAACTCACAGCCTTAAAAGAACAGGCCAGTCACCCAAACCTTCACAGAATCCAAAGGCAACAGCCTTGGCAAAATCTTACAGGTCACCTACCTGACTGGCTTCCAAATGAAGCAATGAGGGCGGGGCATGGTGGTACATTCCTGTAATACCTAGCATCGTGGGAGGTTGAAGCAGGAGGACTGCAAGGTTTTTTTTTGTTTGTTTTGTTTTATTTTTTGTCTTTTTGAGACAGAGTCTCACTATGCAGTTCAGGCTGGCCTTCAGCTCACTTTGTAGCTCAGGCTGGTCTTGAACTCCAACGATCCTCCTGCTTCAGCCTCCCAAGTGCTGGGATTACAGGTGTGCACCACCACACCCAGTAGGACTACAATTTTGAGCCCAGCCTGGCAATTTAGTAAGAACCTATCTCTAGATTTAAAATTTGAAAAGAGTTGGGGATATAGCTCAGGACAAAGACCCTGGGTTCAATCTCCAGTACTGAAGGAAAAAAAAAATGCAATTTTTTTTTTTTTTAATGGAAGGGGGGGCTTCAAAAAATTTTTGTGCCTAGTTTTTAACTTTTTTGTTTTTGTGATTGGGTACCAACTCTGCCTGCCTCAGCCTCTCAAGCAGCTGGGACTATAGGCACATGCCACACACTCAAGTGTCCCTAAAGACTAATATTTTTATTGCACTCTTCCAAATGTGCATGGCTTGGGACCATGCCTGCATCAGGGTCTTCAGAGATGCCCCCTCTCGCCTCAACTTCATAACAGAGGACCCAGGAGTAGAGGGGTCACTTCCTGGGGCCCTGCAAGGCTACCTCCCTGCCCGAGGCTCATCACCACTGTCCCCACACAGGCCTGTGCGCCCCGCCCCACTATGGCCCTGGTCAGCATCAACAAGCTACCGGAGAACATCCTGCTGGAGCTCTTCACGCACGTACCTGCCCGCCACCTGCTACTGCGATGTCGCCCGGTCTGCAGCCTCTGGCGGGACCTCATCGACCTGGTGACGCTCTGGAAGCGCAAGTGCCTGCGGGAGGGCTTCATCCCCAAGGACTGGGACCAGCCTGTGGCCGACTGGAAGGTCTTCTACTTCCTGTGCAGCCTGCGCAGGAACCTCCTGCACAACCCCTGTGCTGAAGGTGGGCTGGAGTGGGAGTGGTTGCTGCTGTAGCTGTTCCTTTCCTATCCTGGACCTCAGGGCCTTTGCACTTGCTGTTCCCACACTATGTTTTGTTCTCAGACCCTTAGTGCCCTCCACCTTCCCTCGCTTCTAAAGCACCTCTGGGGCCTATGCTCCTTGCATCTCCGGCTGCCATTAAGAGTCTTGTCTGTACACTCAGAGCCCTTGTATCATGGGTTTTCTCCTTGGCCTCGCTAGGATCCCAAGAGTCAGACAGACAATTAAGGTGTGCTGCATTTGCTTGGTGGGGTGCCTTGGTCCCTGAGATGCATGGCTTTCCCAGAGATCCTGACTGACATCTTTGAGGTCTAGGCCTGGCTGATGAAGCCTCAGGGCCTCTTGGAGGCCCCATACGTGACACCAGACACAATCTCCCCGCCTGTCCTAGTTTCTGTTCTGAAGCTGCCCAGCCAGGCCACTTCCAAAGCTAGTAGTCTGCACCCTGCCTGATGCCAGGCCCACAGCCAGCCATGGTTAGCCCAGGCTGCTCAGGCCCCTTCCTGGAATCCCCCAGAAGTAGGGGGAACAGCAGGCAGTACTGGAACAGGTCTCCCTGCAGTGGTTCTGGACAGCCGTGGCGGGGAGGCACAGTGGCCTTCCTAAGCCCTCAGAGCTTAGTCTGAAAGGGGGACCCATCTGATGGATGGCCTTCCATGGACATGGGCACCCCCCGCAAGATGCCTGTGCCACCACCTGGTACCCTGGCCCTGGGCACAGATGTGAGTCACATCTGAGCCAGGCGTGTTGGCGCACGCCTGTAATCCCAGCACTTGGGAGGCTGAGGCAGGAGGATCATTGCAAGTTCGAGACCAGCCTGGGCTACAAAGTGAGCTCAAGGGCAGTCTGAACTGCATAGCGAGACCCTGTCTCAAAAAGACAAAAAAAAAAAAAAATGAGTCATGTCTGAATAGCAGGCTCTCCAACCCACTGACAAACCCGCAGGGCAGGCCTCTGTCCCATCCCCAGGGTCTGGTCCTGTGGTTGGAAGAAATCCCAACGGCCCTCAGGGCAGCACTGTTGCAGGCCCTTTCCCATACACTTTAAGAACTGAAACCTGGGTGTTGGGAGCCCCACAACAAGAGGGATGTGAGGAAAGTGTTGGTTTAGCATTTCTGTTCTTGTAATACCCTCTTCAGGAGGCAAGCCAGCTGGGGACAGAGTGGGAGTCCCAGGCCAGAGCTGATACTGGGGAGGGAGCGTAGGGGGGCCCCAAGGCCCTTGGGCAAGCAGGGTGCTGACCTTGGCTGCACGGTGCCCTTCAGCAGGAACCAGCTGATGAACTTTCGTGTCTGCAGCCTCAGAAAGCTGAGCACAGCAAGCCCTGCCTCCAGAGAGTACGCGGGCAGCACCCCTTCCTCTTGGGCCGACACTTCAGATTTACAAAGGGGCTGGGGTACGGCTCAGTGGTGCTGCACTTGCCCAGCCCGTGTGAGGCCCTGCGTTTGATCCCCAATACCACAAAAAACAAGAACAACAAAAAAAACAACATCGATGGCAGGGATCTCACCTTGGCTTCCGCTTTTCCTAGAGGACATGGAATCGTGGACACTTGATGCTAATGAGGGGGACCACTGGAAGGTGGAGAGCATCCCTGGAGCACATGGTACAAACTTTCCTGACCCCAACGTCAAGAAGTACTTTGTCACATCCTATGGGTAAGAGGGCCGGAGCCAAGCAGGCCTGTGCTGAGGGAAGGGGCGGGGCACCTTTGCCAAATCTCCGGCCAGATGAGGGTCTCCAGAAGTTCAAGGGAGGCAGCTCCCAAACATGCTGAGGGTTCCCAGCTTCCTGGAAAGCGCACCAGGGAGTGGGCAGAGAGATGAGTTTCGGGAAGCGGGGACCGACCTCCCCTACCCTGGGCAGGGAAGTACGTCAGGGCGTGTCCCAGGCATCCCTAGTCTAGGATGAGGCATCGCAGCAAGGCCTCTGTGGTACCTCGGAGATGGGCCTTGGCACTGGGACCACATGCTGCCCAGCCACGAGGCCTGTGTGTCCCGTGGGTCTGCACCAGGACCCGCCAGTGCCTGTGCAGTGGCCCTCAGGGGGCGCCCCAGGGTCCCTTTGACCTCCCTGGGCCCTTGGAGGCTGCCAGAGTCACAGGGCCCTGCACAGCACTCCTGCAACACGGCCCCGCCCCCCCCCAGCCTGTGCCTCAAGTCCCAGCTGGTGGACCTCAAGGCCAAGGGCTACTGGGAAGAGCTGCTGGACACGTTTCGGCCTGACATCGTGGTGAAGGACTGGTGAGTACCCTGCACCCCCACACTCCGGGTCTTGCCCTCCTCTCGCCGCAGCTGCTGGCTCAGAACCCACAGCAGGCTCCCGCTCTGTGCTCAGCCTGCCCTGGAGCTGGGCGGGCCTGGCCCCGCCCTCCCTCCCTGAGGCACCAGCGCCTGTGAGGTCCCTGCCGCATACCCTGCCCCAGTGTGCAGATGCAGAGACTGAGGCCTAGCAGGCCGCTACCCCTCACGGGAACAGAGTACCCCAGGCCTCTCTGGACTTCGAGGAGACCCATGCACCTTCTTATCCGAGTCTCCCCTGCCCCACCCAGGTCGTTCCGCTTTGCAGTGACGGGGATTGAACCCAGGGCCCTGAGTATACAGAGCACCCACTCTGCCAGAGCCACCCCCTAGGCACAGCTTTCTCGAGCCACTACTCTGGGCACAGAACCAGCTGTGAGAAGCCGGACCCCGCGCCAGCCAGGCCCCAGGCAGCACTCAAGAGAAAAGGGGTGCACCCTCACCAGAGGTCCCCAACCTGAATGGCCCAAGCACTGTCGTACGCAGGTCACACGGCTGGGACAGACAGGGCCTTGTGTTCTTCACAGTAACCTCGTTAGGAGAATTCACCAAACGATGCCCCTGCAGGCCCGCATGGAGAAATGGCCTTCCCCGGGGCACAGCAGGGCGGCCGAGGGAGCAAGCTCAGGAAATGAAGCGGCCCTGGTGCGCGGGCCTGCTGCCCGTGTCCGTCCCCAGGGCCAGCCTGCGGGCTCAGCACACAGCTCCCACCACCTCCCCCAGGTTCGCGGCCAGAAGAGACTGCGGCTGCACCTACCAGATCCGAGTCCAGCTGGTCTCGGCCGACTACATCATTCTGGCCTCCTTCGAGCCCCCGCCTGTGACCATCGAGCAGTGGAACGATGCCACGTGGACAGAGGTAAGACCACCTGCCTTCCTGCTGCCAGCCTCTCGCGGCCTCCTGTGTCGGTGCTCACGGCTCCGCCTCCCCCCAGGTCTCCCACACCTTCTCGGACTACCCTCCAGGCGTGCGCCACATCCTCTTCCAGCACGGGGGCCAGGACACCCAGTACTGGGCAGGCTGGTACGGGCCCCGGGTCACCAACAGCAGCATAGTTATTAGCAACAAGATGACCAGGAAGCTGGCCCCGTCCACCCCTCAGTCTGACAACGTAGGGGCGGAGGAAGCTGCCCAGTCACCCACCCACTTGTCTTCACCGACCTGAGGAGAGTAACCTGGCCACCATGCATCCGTCCGCTATCCAGCCCAGCCAGAGGTCCCTCCTGGCAAGAGCTGGGCCAGCAGCAGGCAGTGACTTCCCAGCAGACGCTGAGAATGTATGGTCACCCTGGCTCTGGCATTTTGTCATAATAAATGTTAAATGTTTTCTGTGAAACCAGCCTGGGGTTGGGTGTGTGGATGGTGACGGGGTGGGGGGGTGGGGTATGGTGTGTGTGTGTGTGACACACACCTCTGCTAGAGAAGCAGCCTTCCCAGGTTCACCCGGCTGCACCTGTCCCTTTCATTCTGGAGAGGGACACCCCAGCCAGCCCTTGGGGCACTTTATTGAAACAACTCACAGTATTTGAGACAGACAGTGTTAGCCGGCTGAGCCCCAAGAGATGAGAAATTGAGGTCCCAGCGTCTCTCACTGCCTTCCTGGGGACGCCTCCTCCACGAAGCCAGGCAGACCTAAGCAGCCCCAGATGGCGGGCAGGCGCCTGTGAGGAGCAGGAAGAGCACTTGGAGGTGGGGCCCGCGGCGCTGTCCGCAGCCGGGTCCCTGGTCAGACAGTCGTGGCATCATCGGTGGGTGCAGGCTCATCCTCAGCTGCTTTTATGAGCTCGCTCTTCAACATAGAGCTGCATCTAATAGAAAGAGAATAGGGCTGTGCGGGGACCTCCCAGGGCTCCTGGCAGCCAGACTGCGGCCAAAGGTGGGAGGAGCCTCACACTAGACATCCCTAGCCCTGTCCCCCAAGCCTTGAATGGCAAGCCTTCTGGCCAGGCCCACCTCTGGGCTCCTCCTCCTAAATAAAATTTCTTTGGTCCCCTGCAGCTTACCTTTAAAATGTCCGACGTCATGGTTTTCAGGGGTATCAGCCGGGGGTCATGCATGTGGACGTCCTGCTCGTCTGCTAGGATCCAAGGGAAGTCCTAGGGAGGGGACCACAGTGAGGGTGTGCTTGGCTATCTACCCACCTCCAGAGCCGGGGTCCTCAGAATCCCCAGAGAGCTGCCTACAATATAGATTCACAGGCTTCTCCACCACAGTGACCAGGAACCTAAGTGAGGTAACAACCCCCAGCACCAATCCAGAAGCCAATAGGCAAGGACCCCAACCTTGAGAACCCCACTTGGGAGGAGCCAGGATGACCTGGCAGCCCACGTGTAGCTCCACCTGGGCTCCTCACAGCTCTGGTAACCGGACAGAGCAGTGACCAAGTGTGTGTCCATGTGGCTGACTCCCAGAAGCTGCTCAGTACCAGGCACTACGGTAAGGAGCACACTCGAGCACTGGCCATGGGCAACACCCTGCCCACCTGGAACTGTGGCCCCCAACTATTTCCCTGGCCACCCCCAGGACAATCCCATCTTACCTTGATGACCTGGATCTTCTCCATGTTTCGAGTGGCAGCTTCTCTCGTGTGCACCAGGACGGTGAAAGTGCAGCCTGGAGAGGCAGGAGTGGGGTCAATCAAGGCCAGGCCGCCTCAGGCCTGCACTGGGCTGGCCTCTTCCCCTACCCTTACTGCCCTGGCAGCCCCACAGTCCAGCATCGTTCTAGCCAAGTGCTGAGAAAAGACACCGGCAGCGGGAGACTGACGGCAGAGGGACTCTAGGAGGCTTCCTAGAGGGGCAGGACTAGCTTGGCACAGCCCAAGGTAACCATAGGGAAAGGCAGGTGGGCATACCTGGTGGATTGTGGTCCAGGACGGCATCACACACACTGATCTTCAGGATGAAGGCTCGGAGCAGCTGCTCCACATGGGACAGCAAAGAGTCAGAGCTAGGGACAAGAAAATAAGAGCTTCATCTTACAGATGCCCCTGGCCACCAGCAGGCATCCCACCCTGCTGAAGCTGACCCGGCCCTAGGGCCCTGCAGTGCCTCTGAGGGTGCTGGCCAGCCGGCTCAGATACACAATGAAGATAGGCACAGCGGGCCTACGACATTCTATGTGCAGCCAGTAGAGAGAAGCAGGACACAGCCCAAGCCTCTTCACAGACCAAGAGGCCATACAGCCAGTGGAACAGGCCGGTGCCAGGTTCCAGTGCCCTGGCCTTCCAGCAAGTGCACAGCTGGCCAGCATGCATGGGTCAACTTCTAGCGCACCATGTGTGGAGGACCACCTGGACGACTCTCCTTGAAAGAGCAAGTATCTCCATTTTAGCTAAACCTGGCCCTATTTCCATGTATTGGTATGTACAGATATGTACAGGATATGTACATATACAGGTATGTATCGATACGTATTGATACGTATAAAAGTCCTGGCTAGGACTTTTCCTTATCCCTTCAATTGGCTCTGAGCAATGCACATCAGTCCAGCTGAGGTGCTGATGGGCAGTGTTTCCTCAGCCCCCGTAGCTCCCAAATAAAACATGTGAGCCGAGGCGGGGTGGAGAGCCTCCTATGTAGCCCAGCTCACAGTCACTCATCCTCAAGCCACGCCCTTCCTTAATTAATAAATTGATTCGCCATCATCGTAGCCAGACTCAGGACGCCCTTGGTTCCCCACCATTTTGGATATATTATTGTGTCTTTGTTTACACCATGCGTTACGCTGGGAGGGGTAGATTGGGATTAACTTGATAGGATTCCAATAACTTTTCCAGACCACGAGGAATAGAATCTTCCCAGACCACAACAAGGACAGGCAAGGGCTCTCTATACCATGGACTGGACACCTGTGCCCTGCTCTGCCACCACCAGGGTGGAGCTGGGTGGTATGTCATTCCTCTGGACCGTGGTTTCCCCATCTATATAAGGTGAAGCGGGGCTAGCACTCACCAATCCCAAGATGCTTCGCTGTGCCCAGGAAGCTCTCTGTGTCACCTGTGTGCCTCTACAGAAGCACGGCCAGCCAGGGCTCAGCCGCTAATGGCACAGCTGGTCATCTCCCCTCCCAGACCTTCACGCGGTGTCAGGGGCTGCCTTAAAGTTAGGCAGCAGGGGTCACTGCTAGAGGGCACACACACCAGCCAGGATGGCACAGGCCAGCTCACCTGATAGACAGCAAGGGAGGCTGAGTGATCTCAAAGACGAACTTCTCCACGGGTCGATGCTCTTTATCCAAAATCACCACCACCACTTTTTCCACATCGTTCTGCAAGGACAGGAGCCCCCTTTCCAGCCAGAGCTGCATGCCCCACAGCCCTACCCCACCCTTTGCGGCACTCAGCTGCGGGAGACTCAGAGAGTGGGCTGGAGAAGGCGGAGTAGGCACCCTTGGCCTGAGTAGTTCAGGTTGGGAGGACAGGACGGCTGGCCCCCAGCCGGGTCCCAGGAAGTCTCAAAGACCAGGACAGGGCAGCAAGGAAAACCCTGATGGCTCACTCAGGACAGAGCTCTAGATGGGGGCAGGCATGAGAAAATTCCAGAACCCTCTGGGCAGCCCCACGGAGAACCACCCCACTAACCTCACAGCACTCCCAAACATGGCCCACCTGAGGGCTGGGTTTGGTCTCCAGAGTGCAGGCTTCTGGGTGTTGGCACTAGGGGACCCAACACAGGTCCAGCATCCGAGGATGGACCCACAAACGCAGAGAAAAGGATTGGGGATGGCTGGAAGGCCCTGACGGCCCCTCACCTTCTCCAGGAGTGGCTTGACACAGTGCAGCGTGTCCTGGATGTACTGATTCAGCTCCGGATGGCAGGACATCTGTCACAACCACATGGCGTCCAGGCCAGAAGGGAAGACATCAGACAGGGAAGACAGACAGGGAAGACATCAACACCACCCAGCATCGCTTCCTTTGGACAGAAGCCCAGCAGCTCTACATAGGGCTTGCTGCCCGGGGAACCCTTCTCCAATCAGGGGGCTAAGAACGGTGAATTCATCCCCATGGCGGAGAGAAGTTCAAAGTCAAGATTTTAGCGTTTACAATAGTGTGAAGGGGCTCCTACTGTAGGGTCAATGAACTTCCCCAGGTCTGAGAAGTCCCACAATTGTACACAAAGTTGCGTGTATCGGATCCATGTGGGCTATTTTTCCAGAGAAAAGATCTCAGAAATTTAATCAGAGTTCAAAAATTAAGCACATAGGCATAGCTGTATAGACAGCTGTGTGGTCTCAGGCAGATTACTTAATCTTCTGAGCTTCAATTACTTCATCTGTGAAGCTCTCACAAAGAAAAGGATTAAATGAGATAAGTAAATAGTATAGGATAGATGTTCACTTGGGCTTTTCTTCGTTTTTTTTTGTTGTTGTTGTTGTTTGTTTGTTTTTAGTACTGGGAATCGTCTCAGGACCTTGCACTTGCCAGGCAGGCACTTACGCCACTGAGCTAGATCCCCAGCCCTTAGGATAGATGTTCAATAGATGTAAGTTCTTTTTTCCTTTTCCCTGGGTATCCTTTAAGCTTCTACCACCTTCCAGGATTCATTTATTCCAAAGTTTACTGAGTGCCTTCTAAGGATGCCTTCTAAGGGACCAGGGGTGGGAGAAGGAGATTCTTGTTCACTGCTTTGTACTAGTAAGCCCTCGTCTAGATCTGAAAAAGGGAGAGAAAGTACTGGAAGTTTGCAAGAATCTTCTTCCCGCCAACTAATTTCCAGGCAGCAGGAGCTCTTTTAAAATACAGCCTTGCCCCCGGGGCAAGGCTAGTCCTGGGTCTCTAACTACAGGTCGGGGATTCCCTTCTGTGGGTAAGTACGGGAGGCTGCCCAGCCCTCTGGTAGCTGCTGGGAAACGGGGTGGGGGTGGGCTGAAAGTAGAAAACAAATTTTAAAAATCCACCTTTTACCCATGCTGAGATTCTGCGGCGACCATTGGCCCCAGCCTGGCCCCCCGGACCCCACATAGCACTGGGCCAGGCGGGGCTCACCTGCACCGGTACGTTGTACTTCTTGCGCTTTTGGAAGATGCCCACCGGGTAGACCTCGCGCACGTACAGGATCAGGTGCACGGCCACCTCCAGGAACTCGCAGAGCACGTCGGCCACCACTGCGGGGGGCAGAGCCGGTGCTCGAGGAAGCCCGCGGCCCAGAGCCCCCAACACACACGCACCCCCGCCCTCAGCTGCAGCCCCCGCTACCTTGGCCAAAGTTGAGGTCCTGTCGCGTAAGCGTGGTCATCCTTCCTGCCGCGAGCTGGCGTCGCGGGTCAGGTGGTTCGCCTCGGTGTGGGGAGGCCGGGGCAGGGCGTCCCCTCTGCCCCGATCAGGACAGCTGCGGAGGACCCCCCACGTCGGTGTCACGGCCTGGGGGCAACGCCGCGCCCCGATCGGCCTCGTTCCACCGGGGCGGGGTGCAGGGAAAAACCCAGCTGTGCGCGCAAGCCGCGCCGGGCCGCGGACGCGGAGAAAAACACCTGGAGGCGCAGGGCCGGAGCGCAAAGCCGGACACGCGGAAAGCGCAGCCCGGCGGGGGGAAGTCCCGCCTCCTACCCGGCCGAGTCCCTCCCCTGAGGGAATCCCGCCCTTTCCGCCTCCCAGGTGTGGGCTCCGGCCTCCGTCCCCGCCTGGGTTCGGGTCGGAGCCCCAGCGCCGCGAGCCGCCGAACCGATCACTCCCGCCTCCCACTCAACCCGCGCGCCGCCTCGGCGCCGCTCGGTGACGTCCGCGGTGCCGGGCAGGTCCTACCGCCGCCGTTAGCCCCGCCCACTCCCTCCGCCTCGGTGGGCGGAGCCTAATGCTAGATGGGAAGGTGGCTGGGGCGCGGAGAGGCCGGGCCTTGGGGCGTGTCCGCGCCTGGCCGGCTGCGATCCCGAGGCTCCAAAATGGGCTGAGACCCCCGCTTCGACTTTAGACAGGGCAGCTGGGTGTCCACACCGCATCGCTACGTCTTTTCCCCTCCACCGCTTGTCTCTGGCTTTAGCAGGCTCTGGAAGGGGGTGGTAGGAGTCGTGGTGAGGACCAGGTGCAGGGCACTGCTGGAAACTCAGGCCGTTGACACCTGCTGACATCCTCAGACCCTCCCTCATCTGCTCAACCAAAAGGGAGCCCGATAGCTTGGGGGTTGAGGGGGAGGACGAGAGGTACCCTCAGGTCGCTCCCATCCCGACCCGGAACCAGGTATGACCTGCTTCGACCGCCCAAGAGAGTGAAACTTCCCTGGTTCAAATCGGGCGTGGTGCGCACGCCTGTAATCGTAGCACTCAAGGAGGCTGAGGCAAGAGAATCTTCCTGAGTTCAAGGCCAGCCTGAACTATGAATCGAAACCTGTTTTTAAAAACCAACCAAGGGCTGGAGATATAGCTCAGTGGCACAGTGCCTGCCTGGCAAGCACAAGGTTCTGAGTTGATTCCCGGTACCAAACAAAACGAAACAAAACCAAACCAAACAAAAAGCAAAACGAAACACTTTTCCTCTTCATAGTGCTCGGCGCTGGGCTGCGTCCGTGTAAGTGACGCAGTAAGTGAATCCTCAGGATAAGTCGCCGTGAAAGTGGCTACAATTGTCCCCCTTTGGAAAAAGAGCTAAATGAAGAGACCTAGTCTGTCCCCCAAGAAACCTACCTAGTCTGTCTACAAGAACCGGAAGCGGGGCTGGGGATTTAGCTCAGCGGCAAAGTGCCTGCCTGGCAAGCGGAAGGTCGTGAGTTCGGTTCCGGTACCGGAGAAAAACCAAAACCAAAACAATACAAAACAAAACAAAAAAAAGAACCGGAAGGGCCTGGAGTGGTGGCACCTGCCTGCACTGGGGGGATTGAGGCAAGAGGATCTTGGTGAGTTCCAGGCCAGCCTGGGCTACAAAGTGAGTTCAAGACCAGCTTGAACTGCAGAGTGAGACCCTATCTCAAAAAGACGAAGAAAAAAAAAAAAAAAAAGAGCCCCCCAGGTAATATTAAAATAATTACTACCCTGGATGACCGAACTCTGATTTCTTCCATTTCTTCATTAGCCTTAGGAACTAGGTATCCACTTTACAGCCCTGCTTTATAGATGGTAAAACAGACCCAGAGATGTTCCCACCTTCGCTGAAGTCACTCACATGGATACAAACCCAGCTCCTAGGCCTCCTCAGACCCTGGGGCTTGAGTTTATTCATAGCCCCCACTTTTGACAGATGGGAGATCTAAGATCAGAGGAGTGAGTGTGAAGTCCTGGCAGCAGGTCAGGACCAGCGGGCTTTGTCTCTGAGCTCCAGGGACAGAAGAAATCGTTAAGAGTCCTGTTCGGCTGTTGAACGCAGATGCAGCCAGGAATGCGGACCGTTTGCAGCTCATTATTGGCCCTGCAGCCTCCCTCCTCCCACATGCCTTCAAAACTACATCTACACACTTCTAATGGGAAGGGAATAAGTAGCCTGGCCAACAAAGCCAGGAATGTCCTGGACTGTTGCTCAAAAATGCAGGAAATCTGCATGGCCTCCCCAGGGAGCCCATTAACACGGGGCTGGCCCTACCTGATCAGAGTGCGCAGCAGGGCACTGGCCCTTTAACAAGCTCCCCAGGGACCTGGATGCCCAAGAAAGTATGGGAATCGCCGCAGCAGTTTGCATTTTGCAATATTGCCGTGCCAAGCCCGAAGGGAGGCTGGTTTTGTTTCAGAAATTGGTGGGATGGAAAGGTTGCTGGCAGCACATTTGGGGCACAACAGCCTTTCTCCAGACTTGGGGACCCTATCCAGATCATGCCACATAGGAGAGGCCCATTATCGTGCAGGGCCCAGCTGACAACTCGGCAGCTTGTAGGCTTGGGCTTCTAGGGACCTCCCTCTGAATGGCAGATTCCTGGTTACTGGGGAAAGTGAAAGTCCTTTGCCCCCTCTGGAGGCTGCTCAAGCAGTGGCAGACTGGGGTATGGGGCACGGGGCAGGGCGGCGGGGGGCAAATCCTTAGGGGAGGGGAAGTTCAAAGGCAGAGAGCCCATCAGCATGAGGCCAGAGAGGGGGCCTCTGCACACAGCTCTGCGACATCTGGTTTTTCATATCTTAATCGTATCAGTGTGATGGATGGCCATAAGACCTGGGTTCCATGATGGGGTTAATTTTTTATATAGTTCAATCCCCATTTCCAGGGAGGCTGTTTTTCAAAGTTATTTGCATGTCTCCACTGGACTGACAATATGTAGGAGCCTGGCTGAGCTAGAAGAATGCATGTGACTGGGAGAGAGCTGATTTGCCAATTGGAGCAGGTCCCTGAGGCCTGCAAGCGGGCCCGGAGGTAAGATCACTCCCCGGAGACACTGAAATGCAAGAGAGAGAAGGCGGCTGTGAGTGAGCGCCAGCCCAGCCCAGACATGGGGGGCTCTGGGCAAATCCACAGTGAGAGAACTGGGTAAAACAACAGGGGTGAAGGGGCCAGCCCCTTTCCCACCTAAGGCCCCCAGGACACCAAAACACACGGGGGGGGGGGGCCAGGGGGACCCAGATGGAGTGAGTCACACAGGCTGATGACAATCCCAGGAGACCTGGATGCTCAGGGCACCAGCCAGCTGGAATCCTCTAAACAGGGCCCCAGGTTCCTTCATTCTTTGAGTTTAGCTTCTTGACCGGTGTCTGGCCAAATTCAGGTGGTTGTGTCACATGGCTTATTGTCACCAGCCCAATTTGAACCCCATTGGTTCTGGGATGGAACAAAGACCTCCCTTTTCAGTGCCTGCACTGTAGGTGATGTTTTCAAAAGCAAATCAAGGGCCAGGGGTGGTGGTGCACCTGTAATCCCAGCACTCTGGGAGGCTGAGGCAGTAGGATCACTCTTTTGAGCCCAGCCTGGGCAATTTATAGACTTAACAAGGCCCTGACTCAAAAATAAATACATAAATAGAATTTCAAAGGGGTACAGGCCAGGTGTGGTGGCGCATGCCTGTAATCCCAGCACTTGGGAGGCTGAGGCAGGAGGATTGCTGTGAACTTGAGACTAGCCTGAGCTATAATGTGAGTTTATAGCCAGCCTGAAATGCATAGCAAGACCCTGTCTCAAAAAGACAAAAAAAAAAAAAAA